GCACCCATTGCCAATTCTGGGGATCAGGAGGAGGCCGGGTGGCCCAGAATGGGACGTGACACTGCCTCCCCACAGCCCTCCGAGAGAACGAGCCTCTTCTGCCTCAGCATGAACTTTCTGGCAAAGGCTTCCTGCTTCACCTACTACATTTCTGGCAGAGACAGTTAAGGCCCAAGAGGCAGGAGCCTCGAGCAGTCTTTGCAAAGATCTGGAGGCAATTCCAGACCCGCGTTGGTTCTCTTTCCCCCAGCACAGTCCCCACTCTGCACAGAGCTGACGAGGGCCCCGGACAGCGGGGCAGCGGCTCCAATAAATCTGAGACCTGTCTAGGTGCCTCATTTATCAAGAGGCCTAATTTACCCAGGCCCTTTAGACTAATTGCAGATTTGCAAAAAGTGCTGAGAGTGTAGAACCGAGCATTGTGAGTGTCCCTTGCCATATTTCTGCTAATGTGTTTCATCTGGAGTACATAAAGAGGCAGGGATGCTGAGTTTAGACACAGCACTTTGGGGCTAATCCAGCTAAATGATTAGCCCTAAAATTCTGTGGTGATGTCATTTTCCCCACAGTGCTCTGCCAGTCGGCTTGTTTGCTTTATAGTGAGAAATGTGTACTCGCAGAGCCCGGCTAGCTGTCTTGGCATCCCGGAGAACCTGCCCTGGTGCTGTCTGTGGGGCCACAGCGCAGCCTGCACGCCCATCTCCGGGTCTCCTCTCAAGATGACACGTGTGGCCAGCATGACAGCAATCATGGGAAAATTTAACTTCTTTAAGGGATTCTTGAATACGCTTTGCTCTCCTTTGCACACCCCCAGACATATTCACAGGGGGTTCTGTCTGGGGTTGGGAAGGGGTGGCACTCCAGGTTCTGAGCGCAGAACGGGACAGGCATGGTGAAGAGGGGGGAGCCCCATTTGTGCCCCCAACTGTGTGGGCCCAGGGCAGTCCCACAACCTCCCTGAGCCTGTTTCCTCGGCTACAAACACACATGAGCACTTGCTTTGTACAATGTCTGGGGTAAGACCAGTCAAGTTGCAGCTGTATCCCTTCTGAGCTCTGAGACCCGGGCTTTACAATCTCTGAGCTTGCAGCTCCTCCTGCTTTAGACATGGAAGAGGAGTAGCTTTGTAGGGTCTACGGACTCAGGGTTCATCCCCCAGCTCTGTGAGCCACACATAGAGTTGTTGGATAAACGGTAATTCCAGTTTGAGTTTATGCAGCTCCCCAACACTGGGCAAATGTGCGTATTTCAGAAAGAACTGGGCTGCAGAAGGTTTATTTCACACCTTTTACACCGTAGAAAGTCATCTTCCCAATAAGTGCAAGTCAGTCTGCATTTGGCATGATCTCGGAGCTTAAAGACAAAGCTACCTGACATCACTAGACTTTCTGGATTTCTTGGATATATTTTGGAGGAGGGAGTGTAACCATACCCTTCCAAATGTAGCTCAAATCCCCACAAATTCCCAAGTGCAGATCCTTGTTAAATTTTATAACAAACATTTATTGAGCGCTTAGTATATGCCAGGCACTGCAACATAAGCATTTTATATACAACCAGGCGTTCAGTCTTAACCACAGCCCTCCAAGGCAAGCACCAGTGCTGTGTCCATTTTAGCGAGGAGGAAAATCTCTGCAAGATGAAGACTCCCCCCACCGCCCCCCCCCCCACTCCCCCCAGTCACACTGGTAAGGGGCAGAGCAGACACTCAGAAACCCTGGTCCTTTTGCTCACTCTGGTTCGTGCTTCACCCAGGACGCCCCCCAGAGGCCAAACCACAGAAAGGAAAACCTGCAAACAGGCTACGGCCCTGCAGCGGTTTACCAAGTGCCAAGTGCACAGTATCTCGCACATCCCCAGCAAGGCTGCAGGTGGGAGGAACATTGGCCCCACGTTACAGATGAAGCAGGTAAAGCCTGTGTCGTTCCCCGGGCCAGCTTGAAATTGGAGGAGCTGGGGGCGCAGCCCAAGGCCAGCAGCCTCTAGAAGCTGCCTCCTAATCTCTGTGCTACCCTAGGAGGAGATGAACCCCCAAAGTGGGCTCCTAAAGCAGACGCCCCTGATGGAACTGCTGGACCCATAATCTTGAGGAACCGGCTGTGGCTCATTTGTGAGCGTGATCTTCACAAGTCGGCAGGAGTAAATGAGGCTACGTCTCAGCCACCTTCACAGGGCCCTCTGCTTGCCTGAGAGCAATGGCACGACCCTGTAGCCCAGAGAATTGTTAAGTAACAGCCTGGGAGCAGCTGAGGGCAAAGCGCCGCTCTGTGTGCCGGGCGCCTGGCTGGGTGTTACGCCACTGACTTAATTGGCCTGCCTGGTGGGAATGTTTGTCCAGATGCATCAAAGCTTGACGCCGAGACACAGCACCCAAAGCCATGGAGGCCATATTCGTCTCGCATCTCCCATCTCTCATTAAGAAGCCGGGACCACGGGCCAAATCGCATGATGGATTCCTCACACATCAGACCATAAATTTACCCCCGAGGGCCCGGGCACCACCGCTCCCGCCTGTGTCATCACACCACCAGGCAGCCCAGAACCATAACATAGTGTTCTAGGGGGAGGCTGAAGTTAATGAAACTCTGGCTGACATTTTGAGCACGCACACACATATCTCAAGATTATCCCACAAGTGTATTTCTCGTGGAGAGAGTAGTTTTTCCATATTAAAAGGTGGCATTAACCTTCAATAGTCTATCACTTGCTTTAATCCTTTCCACCTGTAAATATTTCAGATAAAAATATCACAAATGGCTGTGCCTGTGTCTCACGAATGCAGCTTGTGCCTGGACTTGGGGGAGAGGAGACATTGAGCTTTTTCACTTGCAAATATCCATCAGAAGTGGAGGCAGAGGGTGGGGGAGGGGGCGTGGGATTGGGGATGTGCAAGGCCTGGGCTCCAATTCCAGCTTCTTCATGACTAGCCCAGGGACTTCGGGAAAGTTGCTTAGCAGGTCATCCCCTACAAGTGTGGGGTTTCTGCCCTGCATAAAGGGGGTTTTGTGCTATTAATCTGTCCAAAGGGGGCTGCCTGAGGGAGAGCCTTTTACTACCTACACAGCCCCAAGTGTGAATGGCAGTCCTATCGCCTGTCTTCACAAAGCTCATCAGCCTCTTTCATAAAACCAAGAGCACCCCTTCCTTTGAGGTCCTGAGCTTGGGACATGCTCTGGGTATGAGCTCAGTCCCACACTCCTATCACGCAAAGGAGGCCCAGTGTGTTCACGGTATCTGGTCAAGGGGTCAAGAACCCTGGCCAAGAACCAGGGTTGCAAAAACGGTAGACTGTGATTGAGAACCATTCCACATGTGTATTTGATTTGGCACACACAGGGTTTTAAAAACTTCTGAGCCAAACTTTAAAAATTGTAAAAATCAGGAGGTTAAAACATCTTTAGAAATCAGGAGGCCTTTTTATTCCCAATAAAAACCATACTTCTAGATCCTCTTGATGAATCCATTCGGTCTGGGCACCCAGATGGCATTGCCAGAGAGCACAGAATAGCAGGACTGTGGGCAGATGCGTCCTCCAGATAGGCAAGCCCCCCTCAGGGCCCAGGGGCCCCAGCTCTCAGCCCTCAGCTGTGCAGCCACACCCACCAGCGCACCCAAGGACCTTCACTTCTGCTCCTGAAGCCACTGCCCTGTGGGACTTCTAGACTCTGGCTTCTCAGAGTGTGGCCTGTGGACCAGCAACACCTGGGAGTGTGTTCAAAATGTAGCATCTCGGGCTCCAGCCCAGACCTACTGAGTCAGCATCTCCATTTTAACAAGATCCCCCAGTGATCTCTAGGCATATTAAGGCTTGAGAAGCCCTGGTCTCAGATGAGGGTGGCAATCTACGGCCTGCCAAAGCCAGCCAGCCAGCTGCCTGCTTTTGTAAATGAAGTTTTATTGGAGCTCAGCCTCGCTCATTTGCTCCTGCTTCCCCATATCTATGCTAAGTAGGTGCCTGGCTGCTTTCACTTACAATGGCTGTAGTTGGGACAGGTCCTCAGGCCTTAAATATCTACTATCTGGCTCTTTATAAGAAAACATCTGGTAACTCCTAGTCATGTTTTAACAAAATATTTTTTTAATTGTTTAAAGTATTACATATATCTCCTTCCCCCACACCATTGACCTTCTCCCAGCCTCCCCTACCCCTTGTCGCATGCCCTCATCCCATCCCCCCAGTGTCTTGTGTCCATTGGTTGCGCTTATATGCATGCATACAAGTCCTTCAACTGATCTCTTTCACCTCCTCCCCAACACTCCCCAGCCTTCCCCCTGTAATTAGACTTAACAAAATATTTTAATTGAGGTTCAATAGAACATTCCAAGTGCTCTAGACCCACACAGGGAATGAGCATTCAGGAGCATTTGTTCACACACACAGATGAGTTTTACTTCCTCCAGTTTTTTCTTTATTTGGGACTCTTAATTCTCGACTCTTAGAGAGGCCACGAAGCCATATCCATGATGACAGCCTCTTCCATTTGGACATCCCACCTCATCTTCACTTTTCTCTCAGCCTTCCAGGCCTTTGTTGCCTTTTTCGTCCCTGCCCCAGGACTGCCCTGCATGTTACTCCTTCAGCGTGGTCAAGCTCAGTTTCCTCCTGGGTGATTTGGGCATGTTGAACCCTAGGCAAGCCAGGAGGTCGGGGATGGGCGAGGCTCCCAGCATAGAACTTCTGAGATAACGTGCCTTCTACTCCAGATGTGCACATTGTCCTGCACTAGCACTTTGCTGGAAGAACCACTATCTCCTGCCACCCAGCCTGTGAGTGCTGACCCCAAGAGTCAGGAGGGGGAGAGGAGGAGCGAGAGCCCTGCAGCTCCAGTGAAGCGCTGGCCCATGGACGACACTTGGTGATGGTACCTAGTGCGTCCTCTTCACCAGTGGCATCTTGCTGTACGTCTCCAAAGGTAGAAAACCCTGGGAAATCCTGCAGAGTGCAAGCATTTTCGAGCCAAAAAACTGTCGAGAGCCACACACAATTTCCATATGCGGGGATGATGAATTTTCAACTGACCAGTCAACAAAGACTCTTCATCTTCAAAGAGGAATGCAGCATTTCAGAAGGTGTGCCAGCCGGCAAGGTGTTCACCACATGGGGCGTCCACAGGGACTGGGAGCGTCAGGTGGGTCTTGGGGCCTCACAGAGGCTCTGTGTGTGTCAGGCGTGGTCCCGAAGCTTCCCTTACAGAGGAGACTGGAGGCCTCTGAGGCCACCATACATCACACGGGTTTTCAGTGTCTGGGCTGAGGGTGGAACCTGCTTTCTCCCCTCACCAATGCTGACCCATTGCCTATTCAAGTATGGCAGAAGATCCAGAGTCCTCATGCAAATCCTTTGTATTTTTAAACCAGTGAAGGGCTTTATAGCTCGTTCTGGAGCTCATATCCACCTCTTTCTGGAAATGATCCTCAAAGCAGAACTGAAATACTGAAATCCCTCTAGCCACAATCTCCACTTTGTTTGTCCTCTCTTTTCCAAAGAAGCATCAGTTATTATTTTCTCTCTAATTTCTTTTTATCTCAGATAATGGTTCCTTTACCCCCTCAGCTCTCTCTCTTCTCCAAGTTCATCATTGCAGTTCCTTTCATTCCCCCCATTAGTCCTGTTTTACAACTCTTAAAGGCGTGATCCTCAGCCATTTCCACCTTCCCTGAATCCCTAAAAATCTCCTTTTTGTCTTAAAAATTATGTAAAAATGCTTCTACTAAACATATGAATAGGACACCATGCAGGTAGCCAACCCCATCACATACTAGATGCAACCAGGATCCCTTTTGAAGAGTATGATTGAAAGTAGTGAGAGTGGTGACCTAGAGCTGGCATTGTCGCATTTATTTGTTGTGTTGAGTCAGGAGATAAGGAAGATAGTTGACAAAGACCTACTAGGGAATACTAATGATAAAATTAGTTATTGTAACAGTGATACTGAATGCTTATGATGTTCAAATCTCTGGACTAAGGCTTACATATATTATTTTTCTCCATCCTAGTAATAACCCTGGAGGAAAGCACCATTATTATGCCTGTATTCCAAATAGGAAATTGAAGCACAGAGATTCAGCAAGAGGCTCAGGGCCCTCTTCTAGAAATAATAGGTGATCTCCCAGAAATGTTTCCAACTTGCCAAAGAAGGATGCAGAATTTCCCTCGGATGCAAGAGAGACTTCAGGAATCCTTTTCAGAGAAGGGGGATCTTTACCCAATGGACTCCCCATACCTAGCCAAGAGCTGGCACACAGTAGGTATTCGGCCTGTTTATGGAATATGTATATTAATAAGCTTCATTGCCATCTTTGAACATGATGTCAAGGTTCAGTGTACAACCAGAAGCGAGACCCAGCCTGGCCAGCATGGCTCAGTGGTTGAGTATTGATCCATGAACCCAGAGGTCATGGTTCAATTCCTGGTCAGGACACATGCCTGGGTTGTAGGCTCGGTCTCTAGGAGGAGGCATGCAGGAGGCAGCTGATCGATGCTTCTCTGTCATCATTGATGATTCTCCCTCTCACCCTCTTCCTTCCTCTCTCTGAAATAAATAAAAACATATATATTTTAAAAGTGGGATCAGATAATAATTCTCATTCATAAGTGTTGCTATGAGGTGAGAAAGAACTCTTTACCCTGGCTGAACAATAGAACCACCCACGAGCTTTGTAAAGGCACGGCTTTTCTGGGCTCACCTCCCGCCTCCTGATGGGAACTTCCCTGGGCAGCCTGGGAATCCACACTCATGACCACACCTCTCCAGGTGACTATGACGCAGAACTGATTGGTGACTCTTTCACCAGGGGAAGGGAACTTCACAGGCTGTCCCCACACATGCTCCCTGCCAGCTGGCTTACCACCAGGCCCACTCCTGAGGAGGCACCAGAAGGGGACCAGGATGTGGAAGAGTGAAGCCACAGGGACACGGCTGCTGCTTCCTTTACCAAAGGCTCAGCTCCTCAGAGAGCCCCAGAGAGCCCCGTATTGGCCACAGCCCCCTCCCCAGCTGAGTTCTGGCTCCTCTCCTGTTCCCTTCAGCCCTCCTGGTTCTCAGCTGTTATTAGCCTAGGTCCGTGGTCGGCAAACTGCGATTCCCAAGCCACATGTGGCTCTTTGGTCCTCTTGAGTGTGGTTCTTTCACAAAATACCACGGCCTGGGTGAGTCTATTTTGAAGAAGTGGCGTTAGAAGAAGCTTAAGTTTAAAAAATTTGGCTCTCAAAAGAAATTTCAATCGTACTGTTGATATTTGGCTCTGCGGACTAATGAGTTTGCCCACCACTGGCCTAGGTGCTCCTTCAGCACCCCTTTTTAATGCCCCATAGCCCCTGCCCACATACCTGAAAATGGCCTTCCACTAACCTCTTTTCAATCTCCTGACTGGCACTACACACACACATACACACACACACACACACACACACACACACACACACACACACGGGACGTGGTGTAAAGGGGGCCCCAGGCGTTCCTTTCTTGGGATTTTGCTTATCAGACCATTCCCAGCCCTTTACCCACCTGCTTGGATGTAGAAGCTAACAGTTGACTGGGTCTTCCCGGGCTCCAGCCAGCAGCGGCAACCCAGACGTCATTTATCATAGTTTGTTCCAAGTAAGAAAGGAGATCCTAATACTACCTTCTAGAGTACTGACCTGTGTTGTCATGAGCCTAACATTAAAAAACATATTAAAACAAAAACCATTCCCTCTGTGGTTTCCATGTCCAAATTATTGAAAAGCCACTCTGTTCAAAGTAGCTCTGTTCACTGGCTCCCTGACTCTTGAAGGGTGGGGCAGTGGGTGAAAGAACTATAGGAGCCTTCTTGGAATGAGGTTGGGAAGAAAGGGGCAGACTCCCTCCAGAGGTGAGCCAGAGATTCAATCATTTTCCCCACAACCTCAACGTTTTCTGCTGAAGCTCAGGAAATCGGTCTCTTCACTTACCACCCAGACTGCCATGTGCTGAAACAGACTCAGGCCCTAAAGGAACCCAAGCTGAGGAAGTGCCCTCCAAACCCAGTCCAGAGTTTTCGAACCTTGGCCAACCTCTCCCATGCGCTTGGCCTAACACACAGATCTGGGCTGGGTTTAGGTTTCAGAATGGCAGTTTCAAAGTCTCTTATTACTGAAGATCAGGGTTTGCTGAGAGCAATAGCGTTTTAAAGCCCCCTGAGCAGAGGGCCACAGGAGCTGTGGGGGATCTGCCGATCTCAACTTATACAAGGTACCAAATGCAGAGGGGGTGGGGGCCACACGCTTGGCTGACGCTGCTCTAAGTGCAATTTGCAAAAATTAGAAGGCCAGCTTCCGCAAACCCAGGTAACAGCCCACAGATGGAGCAGCAATGCTCAGGTGTGACCTCTGTCCACCTCCGTGGCATTCTCAGCTGCCAAGCAAGGAAGCCATGGGTGACTGCTGGGCAGCTGAGGGCAGGATTGGTCCCTCAGCCCATTATCAGCTGCCCTCAGGATGACTATGGTTCCAAGTTCCCCTCCCTCTGTGGGCCATCTTGATCAGACTGAGACCTGAGCTCCAAGTCTCTATCAAGCCCAATCTCTGTACTGTCACCATCTAGCCCTTCGTTTCCCTGGCCACAGAAGTCCCGAGAAGAATTAGACATGGAGACTCAGGAGACCCAAGCAATAACGTTTAGGTGGGTGCCAACTAGGTTTCATCTGTGAGTTTCATATTCAGTCGTCACAGCAACCCTAGTGGGCAGAGGCTGGGATTATTCTCTACCTTCTAGTTAAGAAGGCTGCCACTTAGAATTTTAGGGCAAAGTGGCATTGCTAAAAAGAAGAGGCCGTGCCCTAGACAGGTGGCTCATTTGATTAGAGTGTCCTCCCATACACCAAAAGCTTGTGGGTTCGATTCCTAGTCAGGGTACCTATCTAGGTTGTGGGTTCAGTCTTTGGTTTGGGTGCATACAGGAGACAACAAATCATTTCATTTCATGTATGAAAACAGGAATGAGTGTTCCTAGTCAAGGCTCCCTCAGATGCTCTTCTCCACCCTAGGGCTGCCTCCCAGACACTATGCTCCCCCTACTGGAGGTGTGACAAACACCTACCTAAACCAGGTAGCACAGGAAGTAAGACATGGTTTTTTTTAAATTGATTTTTGAGAGAGAGGAAAAAAGAGGGAAAGAGAGAGAGAGAGAAAGAAAAAAAAAAACATTAAGAGGAAAATAAATATTGATCAGCTGCCTCCTATACTGCCCCTACCAGAGATCAAGCCTGTAACCTGGGCTGTGTCTGGACCGGAAGTGGAACTGTAAGCTTCACCTCTGGTGTGAGAAATGTCTCAGAATTTCCAGACATATCTGTGCTGTCACAGCACTTCTGCTGGGACGCTGCAGGAGGTGAAGGGGACATAGTTGTGTGGCCAGTAGAAGGCACCCACCTGTGAGTCCTCACCCCAGGCCAACGGCAAGGATGCCAAGAGGCTCCTCCCTGACAGACACTCTCTTGCCTACATCACAATGGAAAACAATGCAAACCTTTCTTCTTTATCTTGTTTGTAGTTTTAACTGTTATATTGCTCCTCATGAAAATAAATGAAAATGAGTGTCCCAGTGTATCACTGAACATCACAAATGAACACCTAGGGGAGAACACTGCGTATTAGCACATTTATTTTGTCCATTTTCATTTGGATATAACTTTTAATTCACAAAGCTATTCACCATTATTTTTAACAACTTTAAGTAACCCATTACATTGTTCTGGGCACTGCCATCACTGAAATATATTTTGTAAGTAATTTTAAATATTAGTCAGAACCAAATTAGCATTTTTAGTAAATAGTTTTGTATTTTATATTAAAAAAAAATAAAAACCAACACTAAACTCTTTTTTAATACATAAATGCCAAGTTTGCTTGAAGAGAATTATACCTATCGGAATTGTTTTTAAATTACGTAAACACTGATCACACACACATTTGTTTATGAGTTCATTCAACAAATATGGCCCGAGTGCCTGTTGTGTGCCAAGCACTGCTGTAAGGAGCTGGGAATTCGGTAGTAAACAAGCCAGAGTCCCTTCCCTTGTGGAAACTATAATCCAGTGGGACAGTCAGACTAAACAAGGAAATAACTGCATAATATAATTTCAGGTAGCAAACTGCTCTGAGGGAAAATAATACAGGAAAGAGGAACAGAGAATGCTGGTAGAGAGTGTATTTTAAACATATCAATTTTCTATTGCTGCATAGCAAATCACCACAAACTCAGTGGTTTAAGGCAACACACATGTATCATATCCCATTATTCAAGGTAAGGAATCAAGGCCTATGGTTCTCTGCTTAAATCTCTGCTTAAGACAAGATGGTAGTCAAAGGATCAGCCAGGGCTGAGTTGAATCCAAGGCTTGGGGTTCTCTTCTAAACACGTTTGTTGGCATAATTCAGTGCCTACAGTTGTAGAACTTGTGGAGGCAGAAGGAAAATGTTTGCAACTTCTTCTTTCTCTTCTAAGGGCTACTCTGATTGGGTCAGGCCCAGGTAATCTCCATTCAGAGTCAAGCATTAGTAACATAATCATGGAAATTGGGTCCCACTGAATCACAGGTTCCACCTGCTCAGGACAGTATACCTAGGGGTCTAGCTCATGGGAGCCACCTTAGAAGGTTCCTGATGAGAGACAGATGTCTAGAGAAGGGCTTTGCATGCTGGTTACTTTTGAAGCAAACACCTGGGAAAAGACTAGTGAAAAATGTAAAAGTACATATGACACTGGCTTTCTTGACTCACATTATATTTCTATTGATCAGTACTATGATAGACACTGAACAAATGCTTTACAACAATGCTGAAAATAAGCATTATATGCATTCCTATCTTACCAATGAGAAAGCTGAGATCCCAAGAGGAACCTCATGTTCACACAGTCAAGTGTGATAAGACCAGGGTGTGAACCGAGGCAAGTAAGGAAGCTGCAGAGCAGGTCACAGGATGACAACTTGTGCCGTCACTCAGGGGACACTCTTAGGAGCACTCAGTGCTGGGTTTAATGCTGTATTGCCATTGTTTTGAGACTCATAACAATTTTACCTTAAAACTTGGCTTTGTAAGTGAAGTCTGAGGAGACAATGAGCAGAGGGCATCAGCAGAGAGCATATTCACAATGTGAGTACCTGCCCTTCCCTTCACAAACAGCATTTGGGAACCCCCATGGCACAGAATTTGTGTGGATTCATGATGGTGAGAGTTCAGTGAGGCTCAACATGAGTACAAGGTTGCTCTGTCTACCACTAAGTAAGTGGGGGTGCTCAATGCCCTGAGAGGCTACATGCTTTTCATTTGAATCAGTTGACTTTTGGGGACTGAGAACAGTTGTAGGAGTGTGGCTCAGCCCAGGGACAGTAACAGGGATGGGAGTGAGAGAGCACTGAGGATTGTCCCCAGGAAACTAAAAACATTGAAAGTCCTAAACTAATGACTTACAGCCAATGAGCCTCCTCAAATAGCAGCACGTTAGTCCAATAGAGATTCTGGCAAACACTCCTCCTTTTAGACAATATAACCAAGTGCAGCCTGAAATCTGGGACCGGACTTCTGTGTGGGGATGTACCTCAACTGAGAAGTTGTGAAGTTCTGTGGGGATCACACTCTGCCACACACCAACTCGGTCACCTCCATGGCAGCCTGAAATGTCCTGTGGAGAGCTTTATAACAGAACTTAGGGGTTGGATATACGTAAAATATGTGAGATGTATTCCTGGGAAGGATAATATTTTAAACTTTATTATTCATTTATAACTTACTGAAAAAAACTAAGATTTGCTATTTACCATCTACAAGTAAGTCTAAAAGAACTTTAAGTTCTGTATCTGGGTTTGTGTAAGTTGTATTTGAGGATATTCAGTGTAAATGTCTGGGCACAAGCAAACTTTCCAGGGAGTATTTCAGACTTGCAAGGTAGTAAACCTGGTGAGACCAAAGTCAAGGTCTCCAAATATTAAAGGGGAACCCACTAATATCTCGGTTACAGGTGAAACAAGCACAGCATTCATTAAGGTGAACATATAATATGTTAAAAGGCAAATTGGAAAACAGGAGAGTAGGGGAGCAGGACCTAGAGGTCCAAGAGAGGTGGAGGGAATGTGCTGGGCTGATTGGAGGGGGGGGGGGGGGGGGGGGCTGTGGACACACCCTCTTGAAGCTGTACCTGCCCCAACTCACAGAAACCCTTTGTGACTCCACAATGCTCTGTGATGCAGGCCTGGCTATAAAGGCAGGAGTCTGAGCTCTCAGAGCTCAGTTGCTTCGAGAAGCATTGCGATTTGGAAAATGGATCTCAGTCTATTTCTGAATAGCCTACTAGAGTTTTATCTGAGCTTCAGCTTAGAACATTTATATGACAATCTGAGCTTCGGCTTAGAATATTTATATGACAATCTCAACACAATTTCCATCTTGGTGTTGAGCTTGTTCCTCTTCTTCATTTCCTTTGTGGGAATTCCATCAATCCCAAACTTCCGGAAAAATGAACATACAGAAAAGGTAAGGAACCCTGAGTGAGAGTTTAGTGGAACCAAGCCTTTGTGTTGGCCTGAAAGCAGAGCAGTGCTGAGCCTCTGAGAACCTCTGAGTGAGCAGAAGCTGCAGCCTGAGCATATTAAGTTACTGGGTCCTATCTGAAGGGACAGAGATGGACAGTAGGCCTCAGATTATATGCTGAGAAAACCAAGTGTGGACCCCGTAAACATAGTCCTTCTTTGAGATTTTCAAAAAGGAAAAATTAAAAACATGTTAAAGCTTTAGCCGGGACCAGTTTGGCTCAATGGAAAGAGCATCGGCTTGGGGACTGAAGGGTCCCGGGTTCGATTCCGGTCAAGGGCATGTACCTTGGTTGCGGGCATATCCCCAGTAGGGGGTGTGCAAGAGGCAGCTGATCGATGACTCTCTCTCATCGATGTTTCTAGCTCTCTATCTCTCTCCCTTTCTCTGTATAAAAATCAATAAAATATATTTAAGAAAAACATGTTAAAGCTTTAAAAATGATAAAAGAAACACAAAGTTCTATCAGTTAAAATGTATTTGGGTGACTCAAAGAAACATTATTCTTAGATAGTATATGTCTAAGTTTTCTAGGAAGAGGAGGAGAGAAATGAGTCCCAATGACCCATTCTTTCCTTTTTGTTCTCAGCGTCAGAACAGAGCCAAGAGGAGAAGGAAAGGTGGGACACGGAAAGGTAAGGTTCTGCCTATTCCCCCTGAGCTCCCCAAGGGTGACCCTTCCTCTCTCCTTTCCATGAGGTACCAGGTCCATGATCTCTGTCAGTTGGTAAACACAACCTATCAGGAGACAGAGCCCTCATAGAAGAGGCTCATGGAAATTCAGAACCTGAGATACTGCTCAGATTCCCTGCTCTGCTGTCCTTGGGTAAGAAGCAGTGATGGACATGGGAAATGGGTATTGCACAATAGCTGTCAAAAGTCAGAAGTTCTATCTCCTGACTTTGAGAAAGTGCTTTGGCTTCAGGATTATCAGATTCCTCTTTGTTGTAACCATTGACCCCTCTGCTTCACAGAGTGGTTTTGAGCATCAAATGCGATTATTTTATAAATGAAGTGTCATACATATGGGGACCTTATTAATATCATCATTGACCATTTGACCTAATTCTTGGGGCTTTCAGAGTCTAATATCCCAATGGTCTCCCATTAAGGGATTCCTTTGTAATGCCTATGTGTCTACCTTCATTACATGTAATTCACTCTCCTGGTTCTCAGGTTCGAGATATTACCACAGCCAAGCGGAGGAGAAAAGAGAGCTGATTTCTTTCCTAAAAAGGTAACTAGTCTTTCCCCTTCTTTCTGAGCTCTCTTTATCATGGTCTATGCATTTCCATGGATTCAGTGGAACCTTCCCTAGTCATGGGAGGGGTTGCCATAGGAACGGAAATATGAGTGAATGCTTGGGATGAGTGCATTGTGAAGTCATGAATATGGAGCAGTGTGAAGGGCAGCAGGCTTCAGGTGCCCCACCCTCACCAGGCCAGTAGGTCCTCTTTTCCTTGTTTTGGTCCTGGCTACATCTTTTTACCTCATGTCTCCTGCAGCCAGAATTATGATATCACCCGCTTTCGCCAACTTTTATGTCCAGACCCCTCCTGTGAGTTCTGTAATAATGCAGCTGCTGAAATTAATCAAATGGTGTCCTCAGAGGCCCAGGAAAAGTCTACTCCCTCTGTAGCCCCTGTGGACCCTGTGGCTTTCACAGCTCCTGTGACAGCTCCAGTGCCTGAACCATCATTCAATCAGTCATCTGCCTGGTCAACAATCTCTGAAGAAGAACTAACAACCACTCCTCTGCCTGAGCCTTCTCCACCACCTCCCTCTGTTCTATCCCATAACTCAATGACCCCCATGGGTGATTTTTTATCATCTTCACCACCCGATCAAACTATGCCTCCAGCGCCAGTGCACCATTCTTCACCCCGGCGCAAAGACTTATTCTCTTCGACCTTGTCACAATCTGATTTCCATCAAGGGTTGCTTGCCCTGCGTTCTACAAAAACCTCTTTTGGGGCAGACCCTGCAGCCAAATTTATAGATCCTAGACACCTCTTATTTCTCAGCCCTGATGAGCATGACTCAGCCCAGCAGCACATACATCCTAAGACCTGGGATAATCATGTAAAGCAAAAACTTACCCAGCTTTTTTGGGGTCTTCCATCTCTACACAGTGAGTCTTTGTCCTCTGCTGTTCATGCCTCAGGTGACTGTGCAGTGTTCTTTAATAGCATTTCAACTACCTTCACAGGCCAAAAGTCCCCAGGACCTCCTTATTGCCTACCTCCATCCTTGCCTGAGGTTCAACCTCAACCCTTGCCTCAAACCCTGCCTCAATCCCAGCACTTAGATCTTACTCAGATCCAACCCCAGGCCCACCTTCAATCTCCACTCCCAATCCTACCATCCAGTCCCATTACCCAGAAGAAGGTCTGTGAAGTGTTTTCCCACAGACCCAAGAATGAATCAGAATGTCTCACCTCATCTGAAACTAAGCATCTGGAATCCAATGTGTTGCCAAAGGAACAGGAAAGTTTGAGGGGCTTAACCTCTGTGGTTCAAAGATCTAAGGCCCATGTTGCAATATCCATCGATCCTGTAGAGTTTCCTTTTAGGACTGAATTTCGAGAGAAATTTGAGAGTCACCTTAGAGTGAGGCTCATTCAATACCACAAAGGCCAGCCCTGCAGGACCCATTGGTCTCTCTCACCTCTTGAGTCAAAGAGCAGTTCTGATCTCTCCTGGGTTCCTGTGATTAAGGACCAGAGTAGTGAAAATCCAAATGATAGATTGAGCCAACCAGGAAGCCCCTATGAGAGAAGCTCAGAGAAGTCTCAACTAGAGGAGTATGAAAGGAAGGATAAGGTACACAGTCAAGAGAATGATCCCAAAGTTTACCTGTTGAGACATTCAGATAAGAATGTGGGAAGTGGCTCTGAGGTGATGAGCCTGTCAAGAGAAAACACAATATTTTCTCAGAGACAACTGGAAAATGTCTGGAAAATACATTTGAAAAAAAAATTTGAGAAAATCAGTGAGGGTCAGCTTCCTGGGACTGTGCACAGTTCACAGCCCTCTATCAAGCAGAATCCTGTAAAATCCCACACCATAGTAGAGCAAATCAGTGTGCCATCATCGGTGGGTGGGCACTACCACCTGGACACATCCCAAAAGTGTCCCTTGCTTGAGAATGGCACACAGCAGATGCAGAAACCCCACATTCCCAAGGTTCAGATGAGGATGTCAGGCCATCCCACCAAAGCTCTTGAATCCAAAGAATACTTCCAATCTCAAGATACTGCATCATATTCTTTGATTAATCCCAACTATTCTTCTTCAACCAAACTGATTTCCAAGGTAAACACTAAATCGGAGGCCTTCATGCCTCTGAGAGGAAACTCTGAATCTCTTATTGGGGACAAAGCGGGAACAGAAAGTTCAGCTGATGACCTGAATTTTCCTCTCCCTGCCACCTCACCGGTGAGCAAGAAAGGACATTCACCTGCTAATATCCAACACACACTCTCAGAGGAAATCCAGAAATTTTTGAAAACCAAACCTATCAAAAACACCATCAGTGACAATAAAAGTCAGAGTCATTCTTTGATATCCAACATTCAACCCCCAAAGATGCCTGCAAGGATAGCAGGGACCGGACAGGAGACAAAGAATGCCCACCCACCGATGAATTCTAATGACATGGGCAAAAACAGGGAGAAATCAGAACCTGCTTTCATATCCAGTGTGTCCAGGGAGATAGTCAGGCCTGAGGAGCTCAATGCTCTGCAACTGAAAAGGAGTGACGTTTTGACAACCAGCAAGCCAGGAATCTCCCAAAGAATAAACCCAGAAACAACTATGACCATTGAAAACCCACCATCTAAATTTTCAGTTCAAGCTCCTAACTTATCAGAACTTAAAACGCAAGTAATGGCTGAGTTAATGGTGAAGTTAAAGAAAAAGTATAAGCAGGCGCACGGCCAACCCTGGGACAATTCCAGTGACTCAGACAGCTGGACATACAAATCCTCCCCGTCTCCTGCTCAGGATGTCTCCATTGCTGATGCAGGAGTGCTCCAGGGGCTGCATGTCCATTCAAAGGACAGTGCAGTTCGTATAGAGAAGCAACAGGAACCTTGGCTTCACAGGCATGAATTAAGAACCTGCCAGAATTTACCAGCAGATGTAAAGAAAGATACCATGCACTCTCCTCCAAAGCTTACAGGCTCCAAATCAGTAGAGCGTGGTGGAGGAGATACAAGAATGAGACTTTCCCAACCTGGAGGGAAGACATTTCCTTCTCAGGATAAAGGTTTAGAGGACATACTTGGGAGCAAGTCTCCCCAAACCATATCACAGACGGGACAGGTGCCACCACCTCTCCCTACCTCCTCATTTGTGGGCAAGGCAGATAGCAATTTCCTTGGTAAAATGAAGAACTTTTTCCAACGGCTTCAGCCAGGAATAAAACAGAAAATGCCAGAACCCCCCCAGGAAAAAGGCATCCCCCTATCATCTGCACAGAGCAGAAGCCCAGTGAAAAGCACAGCTGCCTTTACTGGGGCAGCACATGTCGTGTCAGACATCGGGAAGTCTTCAAGAGAGAAACTGGGGCGTCAGCAGGCAGGAGCTACCAACTGCCCTCAGGAGTCCCTTCCCTCGGCAGCGCAGCCTGGGAAGCCTGTGCAGAAGGAAGCAGTGCAGGCCCAGGCAGAGCCAGGCCAGGGGCATCCTTCTCACCGCAGAACTCCCACAATTATAAATGCCATGTCCAGCCGCCACGCAGCTATCTTGGCTGGCCAGGGTTCTAGAGATACCATAAACGAGGACAAACACCCCCAAAACGTGGCATTAAAGCCACATCAGAAGGACCCCCAATCTGTGGCCCTCAAGGAGACTGTGCCTCCTCCAAGCCCCACCTGCAGGCTTCAAGTGGCCAAGGGGCCTCCGGCTGTTCCCACCACTGCTGGAGGCACTGCGTGCAGACATCAGTCTCCTCGATTTAGACACACAATGCTTCTCCAAAATTTCCAGCGGGAACCATTTCCCTCCCCCAAATAATCCCCCCCTGGAGAGGAGTATGGGCTTGCCTAATAAATGACTCTAAAATAATAGTGATGTCTTCTCTGTGTCCTGTGTTGGGGGAATGGGTTTAAGGTTTCTCAGGGCTTGTGCTTAGGGAAAGAAAGAAGTTCAGCTCCAACTGATGGCTTCCTTTGGCTTCCAAAAGTGACGAATTCCTGCCCTCGCTGGTTTGGCTCAGTGGATAGAGCGTCAGCCTGTGGACTGAAGGGTTCCAGGTTTGATCAAGGGCACGTGCTCAGGTTGTAGGCTCAATCCCCAGTGGGAGGGTATGCAGGAAGAAGCTGATTAATGAGTCTCTCTCATCAGAGATCTTTCTATCTCTCTCTCATTCCTCTCTGAAATAAATAAAAATATATATTAAAAACACACACACACAAAAAAGTGACCATTGCCTAGAGCCAGAGGGCAGATGAGAAATATATATCATGTGCCCTCCCCAAAAGCCCACTTCCTCCCTGATGAGGTTGGAGGAGATGGGCTCTGTCTCCCCCCATAGCTTAGCCTTAAGGAACATGGAGAGCAGCCCACACCTTCCCTTCAGGGAATGCTTTATGTCCTTTAAGGCTGCAGAGAAGACAGGCCTTCTACATCTCAAGATCATCAAGGACAGATTATATATATATGATACCTGAGGATATTTCTCCATTAATTTCTGGAGAGACTTGAAGTGAGGGTGGAGAGGTGGAGAAAGTAAGAGAGAGAAACATTGATGTGAGAGAAACACATTGATTGGTTGCCTCCTGTGTGTGCCCCTACCAGGACTGGGGACCCTGCAACCAAGGTACATACCAGGAATCAAACCCAAGACCCTTCAGTCCATAGGCCAATGCTCTCACCACTGAGAAAAACAGGCCAGAGTGGGTATATTTTTTTCAGAAAATATCAGTAAAAAAGAGACAGTGGCTCAATCATTATTTAGAATCAGTGATCAGATGATCCCACAGGTGGGTGAACCCCAAATGGGAGTGTTTGGGGGGATATTGCTGCATTGGGGTAGGGACTAGGAAAAGCATAGACTGCTCAAAAATCTTTCTATGAGTCATGTTAACATGTTGGAAAAGCATACTTGAACCTTGATGCTGAAGTATGCCTACTGAAAGTCACCTTGGGGATGGGGTTCCCACCTCTGGGTATTTCTTCAGGCTGAGGGATTGATTATTTTTATTTTTATTTCATATTTACTTTTTGCTGAGCAAAAGCACCACTCATCTATCAGTGTTAGCAATGTTAACCACTTACCTCCCAAGTAAAATAAAGCTGAAAGTAAGGAAAAGATACCTTCGAGTGAGTGAGAAAGTAAGAACAAATGAAGAGGGAAAAGAATAACATTGCTGGTGAAACAAAGATTTATGCCTCATCAGCCCCTCATTGGGAACTCTCTTGCTCCCAGCTTCCTAAAAGTGACCTAAACTCCGCCTGCTGAGGCTGGTCAGAGCACCCCACGGCACGCTGATGCCTCGTACCAAAAAGGCCTGGTGTTAGTAGAGCTATAATCTCCCCAGAACACCTTCAGCTCATGAACCAGAGATGCGTTCTAGACACTGCACCAGGTTTACAGATAGCTGAGGACTCACCATGGACTTCCATGAAATGTTTTTTGGGGGTGGGTGTGGGATGGGGGGAGGCAAATCCACATACATATCCACCCTTTCTAGAACTGTACAGACTGAAACACAAAAATGGAATGAGCATTCTCATGAGCACTTCAGGTAGCTTTCCCAGTAAGGCCAATCCCGAGTATAAAGAGAAAAAGCAAAACAAGAACAAAATACAGAGCCCCTCTCACTACCACACTTGTATATATTGGCCTTAACAGTGTCTGTAGCTAGGGATCACAGAAAAACGCAGACCAAAGAGGAACTAAAGGTGGAATGGAGCCTGAGACGGGGAACATGAAGAGGTGAGCAGGCAGCAGAGGGCTCTAACATCCACATGGACAAACAGCCAATAACGCAGCCTCCCAGTTCCTACCCCATCTCATCTCAGTGTCCTTTACTTCCACTCCAGTGCAGTCACTGACACACTGCAGACCTTATTACCAGGAACGCCTCTGCCTCTGGAATTATATAGTCTGACCTTTTACCCTTTGGCCTCATCCCCTATCCTTCCAGCATAGATGCCCATTGTTAATTTTTCAATTCCAGGTCGTTCATTTTTCTACTCATTTCCTGTCAATCCACAAAGCTCTTGGCTTCCTCCCTCACTAAGGTAGACTAGATGGTCTATCTAGTGACTCACATTTAAAAAGCTCCACTACAATGGGCCCCTTCCAGTCCCCTTGAATCCTTCCTGTCTGGCGAAATTTCAACTCTGTGTTTTTCCAGAAATGTCTTCCTATAAGTAACTGACCTAACTGATCACTACTGGATTAGATCTCACAATTGATTCTACTGGTTCCAAAAAACTACCTGGAAATCATTCCTTCATTCCACAAACAATGCTCTCATGCGAACATGTGAACAAAACAAATGGAGCTTAGTTCCATGTTTCTTTGTCCATTTTCTCCCCAAAGCTGCTCAAATCCATGGCAAATCACTTTTCTCAAACTGAGGCCATCTCCACTTGCTCAACAGATGTGCTGGACACAAGGAGCAAGAAGCCATGAGATGGGGACTTTTCAACAAAACAAAACAAAACAAAACAAAAAAACTTTCACATCCTTCTTTCCTTTTTCCTTCTTGTTTTCTATGGAAAGAGGTTTTCTTCCCAACCTCAATGGAATGTTGTGAGAGAGCTAAATTCCCATCTTGATGGACTGATGCCCCCTTGCCAGGTATTCTTTGCCTCCCTCCTGCTCCTTATGAGGTACCCAATGTCTTTTATTTTTTTAAGTTTCTTAACAACAAATTTTTACACATACATAAGTGCAGATAGAACATTATATATTTCCATGTACCCCACCCAACTTTCACAATTATCATTTGGCATGGGTAATACATCCTATTTTGACAATAAAGTGAAAAAGCCCATTGAAACATCTTGTCATTCATCTCTCAGACATATGCTATGTGCCCATGTCCAAGTTCCCCTTTTTCTTCTATATTCCTCATATATGGAAATCACTTATGCACCACAGATGTAAACAGCATGGAGCTTTAGAGGCTCTGGCAATCAGTTCTGATCTGCCTTTTAGTCAGCACTGAGGAGTCAGTTGAGTGAATTCTTCTCTCAACTCCATACAAGAAGTAATCTTACAGAGTAAATCCAGTGCACAGCATTGCTGTTCCTTAATCACACAATAACTATACTAACATGCTAAATGTATAGAAGTAGAAAACTAAAGAATTGGCATTGCTATATATTTTCAAATATTTAGAAGAATTTTTCCTGTTATGCATGAAAATGACAAACACAGATCAGACACATTTGTTTATCTTTCTTTCTAAAATGCCATTAAAAGTAAAACATTAGGTGAAAAAATGCTCAATATCACTAGCCACCAGAAAAAAAATGCAAATCACAAGCACTGGGAGATAGCAACACACACACACACACACACACACACACACACACACACACAAAGGCTAGAATCACAAAGTCAGGTAAGTCTCGCTGAGAATGTAGAGAAGGTGGAACCCTCACACACAGCCGGCAGGAATGAAAAATGGTTCAGCCACTTTGACAAATAGTCTGGCCCTTCCTCAAAATGTCAAACAGAGAGTTTCCATATGACCCAGCAACTCCACCTCTAAGTATACACTCATGCGAAATGAAAACACATGTCCACACTAAACTTGTAAACAAATGCTCACAGCAGTAGTATTCAGTATTCATAATACTCAAAAGGTGGAAACAGCCCAAATGTCCATCAACTAATGAATGGTAAATAAAATGTGGTATATCCATGCAATGTAATATATTTTGGCAATAAAATAATACATGCTATAACATGGATGAACTCTGAAAGCATTATGCTAACTGAATAAAGCCAGCCACAAATGATCACATATCATCCCATTCATATGTAATGTCCCAAACAGAGAGAACTAGAGAAATAGAAAATACATTAGTGGTTGCTTAGGGATGGAGGTGGGGGAAGAAAGGGAAGGAGAGAGATGATAACTAGAGATGATAAGGTTTCTTTTTGAAGTCATGAAAATGTTTAAAAATTCACTAGGGATGCACATATCTGTGAATATATTAAAAATCATAAAATTATACACTTTAATGAGTATGGTATGTGAGCTATATTTAAAGTTCAATAAGTAAAATATTTAAGAAGAGTAAGTACTTGAGAAGAACAAATAGGGGAAAGGAGAAGACAAAAGATGTCAACACATTTCTGGGACATGGGAATCCAGGTGAGGAGTGGTAAGTGACTAGCAGAGCAGGGGAAGTGCTGGCAGACCCATAACAGCACAAAACCCCAGGAGACGAATGACCTGATGGCACCAGACAAGAAATGAAGGGTTCCATTTGGTAAACATCTTGAATTTTTGTTCTGCTATTGTTTTATATTATGTATAATTTAAAATATATATATATTTTATTGATTTTTTAGAGAGGGATAGAGAGTTAGAAACATCAATGAGAAAAAATCATCAATCAGCTGCCTCTTGCACACCCCCGACTGGGGATGTACCCACAACCAAGGTACATGCCCTTGACCAGAATCGAACCTGGAACCTTTCAGTTCACAAGCCGAAGCTCTCTCCACTGAGCCAAACTGGTTTTGGCTATGTATAATTAAAAAAAAAAATTATTCTTTGGTGGGGGTAATTTCACGAAGTGAAAATATATGATATGGTGAATGGGTGAAGTTGGAAGTTATGTTCAAGAAATCTAAAGGGCCCTGTAGGGATGGTCAGATCTGCTGGGCTGGATCATGGCGAGATGGGTTGCAAGTTCTCCAGTAATTTGTAAAATCCTTTTGAGAAGTTAGTGTGCTTCATATGTGCAGTGGTTGTCAGATTTCTTGCCTGGGACAGAATCAGATCATTGTTTTAAAGTTGGCATTGCACACTTCTGGGGTCTGG